AAAGATAGATACAAAACTGCTTTCACGGTTCCTTTTGGCCAATACGAATGGAATGTTATGCCATTTGGACTAAAAAATGCTCCATCTGAATTTCAACGCATCATGAATGACATATTTAATGCACACTCAAAATTTTGCATTGTTTACATTGATGATGTTCTTATTTTTTCACATTCTATAGATCAACATTTTAAACATCTATATGCTTTTTTTCATACTGCAAAACAAAATGGTTTAGTTGTTTCTAAAACAAAAATTTCCCTCTTCCAAACTCGTGTTTCTTACCTTTACTAACAAATTTCCTGATAAGATCACCGATAAAACTCAATTACAAAGATTCTTAGGCAGTCTTAATTATGTTCTAGACTACTACCCTATTATGAGTCGTCTAGCCAAACTTTTACATGACAGATTAAAAACAAATCTCGTACCTTGGTCCGACCTCCATACCAACCTAGTCAAAGAGATTAAGAAGCAAGTTCAGACCATTCCCCTCATCCATCTAGCCAACCCGTTATCCCCTAAGATAGTTGATTAGTACTTAAAAGTGCATTTTTATCAAGGTTTTATATCATCATTTTGCACTTGAAGTATCAATAACTCCTTAACCAAAGCATGTTTTATAATAATATATTTAATAATATAAGATACCTTTAATTTATGGTAAATGTCTATTTTTAATGCAGGCCTATCACATAAATGAAAGGATTGATTGATGACTTGAAGAACTTAAATTGCAAGGATAAAGAGATGGCCAAACTTAGAAAAGAGATGTCGGTGCAATCCAAACCGGAACACTGTTCGGTAAATGGGTCATATCTGGAGCTATATATCTCAGATTTAGGTCAAATTTATATGGATGGAAAGGTAAGACATAGGCCTACAACTTTCATATGGAGCCCAAGATCTAAAAAGGCCATTATCAAGTCCAAATTGTAGCAACAACAAAGAAGCCCGAATCTGTCTTCCAGCCCGAGCACTGTTCGGTATTTTGGCCATATCTGGAGTTCTAGAAGTCCAAATGAGCTGAAGTTTTTACACAAGAAAGCTGAGACAATTGCCTACAACTTTCATGTTTGCAACTGGCTCCAGTTTTGACGTTATCAATGACGTTTTGGGCAGACAAGAGAAGATAAGGATTGTCACCAAGTCAAAAGTTGGTCACCCACTTATCAATTAGTCATCAAATCAATAGTTCCCATTTTTGGCCTATAAAAGGAGGCATTTGCCATGCATTTAGGCATCTTGGTGTTCAGATCAAGATCATGCTCTTCCTTTCTCTCTTTGTATTTTTTATGCTTTGTTTTCATTAATATTAAGTTTATGCCTTTCATTTCCTTTCCTTTACTTAGTTAACTTTTATGTTCTTATTTTGTTTATCTATTTTGCTTTCTTTCATTATGTCTAGCTAAGTTAATTATGTCAAGGTGAAAAGGTTACACTAATGGTGTAAGAATAAGTATAATGTAAACTTAATATGGACTTTAATGTTTGATACTAACATGTTTTATATTTGCTATCTTGTTCACTCTTTAATACTTTGCTTGTTAAATGACTAATCTTGATTTATGTTGTATAACACTTGGTACAACAAATGCTTGGCACTTTCATAGCCCATAATGTATGGTATAACCGACACCTGAGCTATGAAAGGAACTTGATTTGTTGTTAACATAAGTTATAATCATGAATGCTTGACGAGATTTACAAGTATTAGCATTAATTGAATAAGATGACTAATGTAATCATGTTAACAATATATAATCTGATTGGAACCTCCTTTGTGTGTGGTTTCCAATTCAATAATAAGAGTTTATACTATACTTGTTTGATATACCATTAGTGGAACCTCTAACCTTGACATTTGTTATTATCATTGTTTAATCGTTACATTAATATTCCATCTCAAAGTTCTCATCATCTTCTTCTTCTTCTCTTTCTTTATTATTATTATTATTACTACTACTACTACTACTACTACTACTACTACTACTACTACTACTACTACTACTACTACTACTACTACTACTACTACTACTACTACTACTACTACTACTACTACTACTACTACTACTACTACTACTACTACTACTACTACTACTACTACTACTACTACTACTACTACTACTACTACTACTA